TGTATTTTTAGATTCTTATGAATTGTACATTTTTAATATAGGAAATGCAGATTGATATGCTGTTTATTTGCCAGATAATTAACTTCATGATTTGTGTCAGGCTGCATTAGGATCAAAATTGAAATTTAAACACAGAAAACAGCATATAATATATTCAGGAAGGCTGAAAGAATTGAGTTTGTTTAGTTTAGAAAAGAGAAGATTGATAGTTGTTTTCAGGTATCTAAAAGGGTGTCATAAGGAGGAGGGAGAAAACTTGTTCATCTTGGCCTCTGAGGATAAAACAAGAAGCAATGGGCTTAAACTGCAGCAAGGGAGGTTTAGGTTGGACATAGGAAAAAGTTCCTAACTGTCAGGGTGGTCAAACACTGGAATAAATTGCCCATGAAGGTTGTGAAATCTCCATCTCTGGTGATATTTAAGAGTAGGTTAGATTAGGCTCCTATATGTGAAACTTATTAATGGAAAAAATCTATAGAGAATCTGAAATTTTATAGAGATCTACCCATCTCCTAGAACTGGAAGGGACCTTGAGAGGTCATCAAGTCCAGTCCACTGCCCTCATGGCAGGACCAAGTACCATCCCTGACAGATTTGCCCCAGATTCCTAAATGGCCCCCGCAAGGATTGAACTTGCAACCTGGGGTTTATCAGGCCAATGCTCAAACCACTGAGCTAGCCCTCCCCTCCCCCCCCCCCCCCCCTCTGAAGTTTTCAGAAACTAATAAAAGAAATACATACAAAATAGGAATGTTGGCATGTAGTCAGTTACACAATTAACCAATAAGCCTGGGCTTACCTGTTAATTGCAATGACTACATGCACCTCTCCCGTTTGCTACCTCTGCATGGGATGGAGGAAGGGGGAAAGTGGCTTTTAAACTGGCTCCCCAGGTGTGCCGGCTTCCACGGAGCATCCTGTCCCCCTCCACCATGCTGCTGGCTTCCACAGAGGCAGCAGTGCGGGGGTGGGGCACAAGCAGGATCCGGTATGCGTGGGGAGCTGACTTTAGAGCTGGCTCCTTGCACGTATCGACTCCCATGATGCCACCTGCCCCTCATGCTGTTGCCTGTTTATCAGAGGTTTTTACGGTGTGGCTTGACAAAGCCCTAGTTGGAATACTTAGTTGGGGTTGTCCTGCTTTGAGAGGGGGCTGGATAAATGACCTCCTGAGGTCTCTGCTAGCCCTAATCTTCTATGATGCAATATCTCAGCAATCAGAAATAGCTTAGGGTCTAACCAGTAGCCTTATTTGGGCCCCACTGACATTTCCCCCCAGGTCAGATTGTCAGTGACTTTAGGGGCTTTTGCTTTGCTCTGCAGTGTGAAAGAGAGGGTTACTTGCCAGGATTATGAGAACATCTTGTGTAATCATTTCCCTGCCATTGAAGGGGCCTCAGGTACTGGTGCTTCTTATTCTCTGCTTGTGGCATGCAGTAGTCTGGTTTCCAGTGGACACTAATACTTTAGTCTAATTTCCGTGGCCTCTGGTATCACTGCCACCACCTAAAGGTAAAACCTCTTTGATAACTCAGGAAGGCATATTTGGGAATTCCTTCGTAGGAGGTACATACCCTCAAACTCGTCTAACCCTGCCTCTGGAGAGAGCTTGAAACCCAACTGCTGAGATCAGCTGAAAATGGAACTTAAGTTTCTCTTAGTTAGGGTGTGCAGTTAGAGATATGCACATGGAACCTTTTGCCTTCTAGGACACAAGAATCAAATCATGTTCTTTTCAGCACAGAGAAGTCCAACAACCGCAAGACAAAGAAAATAACTTGCTTGGGTCAGACACAACATTCCCTGTTCTACTCACATATCTGTAGTTTCAATACTTAGTCCTTTCCTAGGAATGGGTGCCACTGGATTCTCCCGCCTGGCTCCTTAGAGCATCAGTTCCCAACTGTTGGTCCATGAATCCCTGCTTGCCAGGCTGTGGCACACTGCCAGGCCACGCCCCCAGATGCTAATTGAGCCCTGCCTGTTGGGGAGCATAGTTCCATGGAAGAGGTGCATGCACAAAAGATTCTCGACTCGACCACTTCCCTGCGCAGCAGCACAGTGAGAGTCGCAGCAGGCGGCTGGCAACAGCAGTGCTGGGCCAGAGCCAAACCCCTGCTAAGCCTGGGAGCCCGGCTGAGTGCTGCAGCATCTGGGCTTCACGTGGTGTTGGGCTCCGGCCAGGCACTGCAGCTGCACTCAGCAGGGGCCCAGCACGCTGCAGCCCTCCTGCTGCGCAGGGAAGTGTTCTGTGCTCAGCTGGGAGGCAGTGGCAGGGCAGGCATAGAGCGCTCTGCTGGTAGGGCCTAGTGCTGGGGGGGAGGGTGGAGTTCTCGAGGTGGCGGGGGCTGACACTGAGGGGCACTGTGATATCCAGGATGGGGAGCTGACACTGGGGAGGGCTCTGGGAGTGGAGCTAGTAGTGATGGAGCTATGGGGGCAGGGCTGGCACTGGGGACAAGGCTAATATTGGGTACCGGGGGCTGGCACAAGCAGGGACCTGGAGGGGATTGGGTGCATTGGGGCTCTGGAAACAGGAGGATGCAGCTGAGGCATTTGGGGCAGGGGGGCTGGCACTAGAGGACTCGGAGGGCGAAAGGCTGGCACTGGGAGGGTTGAGTGCAGGGGACGCTGGGATCAGTGGCTGGTGCTAGGGGGTAGTGTAGGGGTAGGGTTACCAGATGGTTTCAAGAAAAATAGCGGACACACTTGACATAACATCACAATCTACATTACATCTTAGTTAGAAAATACCCGACAGTTCTATTTTCTCATTTCTATTTTTTCAATTTGTTTCCTGAACAGAAAGCTCAAATACTGGTCTGTCTGGTTCAGAACTGGACACCTGGCCAACCCTATGTAGGGGTGAGGGGCTCTAGTGGTTAGGGCTGGCTCTGGGGGCCAGGACTTTTTATACCGGGGACTAGCAAACACACTCACAAACTTTTGGCAGCCTGGTAACATTTTATTTGCGTTTTTGAATACAGGCAGTCCCCGGGTTATGTACAAGATAGGGACTGTAGGTTTGTTCTTAAGTTGAATCTGTATGTAAGTCGGAACTGGCGTCAGCCGCTGCTGAAACTAATCAGTTTCAACTGTGGCTGAAGCTGGATGCCAGTTTTGACTTACATACAGATTCAATTTAAGAAACCCAGGCGTCCCCAAGTCAGCTGCTGCTGAAACTGATCAGCGGCTGATTCCAGGAAGCCTGGGGAAGAGCAACTCTGCCTCGGGCTTCCTGTAGTCAGCCGCTGGTCAGTTTCAGCAGCGGCTGGCTTGGGGACGCCTGAGGCAGAGCAGCTGGGGTGCTACCGAGTTGGTCCCGCAGCCCCGAGGGGCAGCACTACAGGACCAACCCGGCAACACCCCAGCTGCTCTGCCCCCGGCTTTCTCGCTCTTGCTG